TTTTCATAAAGCAAATCATCAAATGATTATAATAAATTTTATTTTTTATTCTATTGCTAATGGTTCAGCTTCTATGGGTTACAAAGCAGCCACTAGAAAGTGAAAAATAGCAATTTTCCTATTTTAGCAGTCTATAGTTATAAAGCTATAGAAAATAGAAAAAGATTAAAAACCTGAGTATTTACTCCACATATTCAACTATAGGAGTACTGAATATCAACTTGATATCTTCTTAGAATTCAAAGTTATGTAGAGCCAAATTTGGCAAATCGTGCTATTTTGAAATCAGTAAAAATTGACAAATTTAAAGAGGTCCCAACTCCTGAAGTAAGAGATTAAGAAACTAAAGCTAACCTTTTTTTGGGGGGGAGGGGTTAATTTCTCATAGGCTGGTACAATATAGTAAATTTTCATCAAAATCTGAGATGGTGCCCATGGGAATTTTTGAAAATTTGGTTGAGTATATATGGAATTACCCATATGTCCAAGTAAAATGGAGTATAATTCCACTGTCCATAATATTTAACTTAAAAGCAGGACCAATACAGAGTAGAGCTAAATATTATTTATTTTAGGATATTAAAACAAAAACATGTTAAAAATTGCTACACAATGGCAATTATGTTTTAATACTACAAATGTGTTTCCTTGGGTGATGGTAAACTATTGACGAGTAAATGATTAATTTAATTTCAAAAGCAGAATACTTCCTCTTTTTTCGAGAAAAAAAATAAAAATTTTTTTTTGGTGAGTTTGAATTTAGCATTTGAATTTTTTATTGTATTTTTCCAATTTTTGGATAAAGTGTTGAGTATTGTGCTTGAAGTTGTGAATTCCTTTGTCTACATCCTGGTATTCTTTGGGAAGCTGGATATTTGAAATGGTTTAGTGGGATGTCATGTGTAATGGCTATTAGGAATAAGGCCACACAAAAAAGATTGCAATGTTTTTATTTATTAATTTAATTTAAATTTTTATTTTATCTATTATTTTTGTATAATTATAATAGAATGTGTGCACACATTATTTGTAGTATATGCACTTTAAGATACCTTCTCCTGTAGTGATTGATATTTCATTAATTGTGGGCTGTTTATTTTGTATAATAATAGCTTCTAGAGTTTTGAGTCTTTCTTTGTATTGAGTTCTGTCAAGTATTTTGGTATTATCTACTAGTATTTGGCTTATGTTGATAGCTGTTCTTTGGTCACTCAATGTGTGCTGATCGCCAAGCAACAGGTCAATCTGCGAGAGAGTTTGGTGCACGTGTGCCCAATGTAAGTAATTAATATTGTTTTTTGATTATTAGTGTTGGAGATGCAATCTTCCAGGAGATATGAGAATTCATAAACAACATCATTTTTACATAAGGGGGATTTATAAGGTCCAGTGTTGTTGGTAATCATTGTTAGATGTTTTAAACTTATTGTAGTAGATAATAAATCTAAGGTGTTTCTTGGGATCATTGAATGATATGCATCAGTGAATTATGTTTTTCATTGCTTTTTCATCCTACTTATAATTAGGCCACATTTAGTTATGATAGAATAAGTTAATGGGGTAGTTATTTTGGTTTGTGTCAGGGAGGGGTCTGGCATCATTTTTTTCTAAATTTCATTAAGCCTAAATTTATTTTTTTGTTGACAATGGGGTTAGGAAAATTATTGTTGATTAGGGTTTGTTCATCATTGCTAAGTTCCTTATAGAATAATATGTCCAAAGAGATTACTTTGACTCAATAAATCATGATTTATATATATATATATATATATAGAGAGAGAGAGAGAGAGAGAGAATAGCTAGTTTAAGACAGTGCCTAAACTGCTTGCTGATTCTATTTTATGATTGAACAGAAAACATAGATGTTGAAATCATACTTTTCTTTTGTTGTGATCCATTTTTTTTTGTTGATTTGTGCTTTAATCTAATATAATACTTTTCCCATAAGAAAAAGGCTTTTTTCCTATTTAGATATTCCTAGTATAATTCACTTACATGCATGATAATGTTGCATCAGTTCAACTTTGACAAAACTCCCAGACTTATTAGCATCTTATATCTTAACCAAAGAACTATATTTAGATGTATGAAGTTAACTTGGAAGAGGATTATTACAAATCTTACAACAATGAGAAATCTCTTTCTACCTGATTTTGAAATCAGATATTTTTAGCATCATCTGAAAATCTCTGATTGCTTTCCATTTAAATTCAATTTGACAGAAGCACTTGCGACCAAAAAATAAATGAGTTTCAATTTTATATGGATACAGATACTTCAACCTGTATTAATAGTTAACTTGTGTAAAGATATTTCAGTTGTTGAATAAAATATGATTGATTGAATTTCGTACCGATAGATAGCATTTCTAGTTTTTTTCTATTGGGGTTACTGTAAATATACAACTTTGAATGCAGTGGTTGGCGTAAAAAAACTAATCTGGCTTGTTAGACGCCATGAAGGCGTCAGTAAAATCTTTACGTTTTATGTCGACGGCGCATGCGCGTCGAATGCTGTAGCGGCGTGCCTCGTTAATGGCGCGAAGTAGTTATGTTTTCATGTAAAGTGAAAAAATATTTTCCTTATTCTTTGACAGATGCATTAGGTAAGTCTTCTGTTCTTTTTAAGGGACTTGTTTAATTACCAACTTGCCAACCCCCGCCGGTTTTATATTTTTGATTGACCGGACAAAATAGGACAATGTACTTTTTTTTTTTTTCCTCTCTCCAATGTCGACTTTTTAATGTGTAATAATTACTGTAAAAAAAAGTGACGATTATTTGATGTAATTGTGGTGTTGTGCTAGCTTACTATTTTACTAGCATTGATTTCTTACACTGGTTTCCTTTTAAATGTATCCTGTAATTTAAAGTATTTTATTGTATTAATTAACATTATGGTCATAAATCTTACGAAAAAGATAAAAATCCATGGTCTCATTTTAAAAAAAAATTAAGTCTTTTCCTTCTGTTTTACTCTTAAATATCCAAAAGTTTATTTATTTATTTTTTTGTTAATTGATCGGTATGATGAGGACAATGGCATTTGAAGTGATTTGTATGCATTTATTTATGAATGCTTTTGTCATAGAATTATTGTTGCTTTCTTCCTTTACTTTTTTTACTATCCACCTACGAAAGAAAATTATTTACATTTTCCATTGATTGTCATTCGATTTAAAATGTTCAAAGTTGATCATTATTGTAAAACTTAAAGAAAAATGTCTCTAATTCTTTTTTCCAGCTTTTATTTTGTACATTTGTACAAAATAAAAACAATTCTTAAAGTGGGTGTATGTTCGTATTGGAATTGTTGAATGTTAGCTTCAAATGAAAGAAAAAGTATTTAATTATGCTTTTTTTTTGTGTGTGTAATAGAAAAAATCTTTTTATTTTTTTTTTTTGTCACGCCTCATAGTCTACACCTTGTTAAAACTTTTGACATTTTTCGAAGTCATAAACTCAGTTAAGCGCTCTCACAAACAGAAATGGATGCCCTCCTACATAACGTTTTATGGCAAGATTCCATATAACAGAATGTTCTCATGATTGATTTTTAATAATTTTCTCAATCAGTTATTTATAATATTGCTAGTATTTTTATTGAACCTGTATTAATTTGCAAAATTTGAAATTCGCGTCAAAAGTTTTAAGGCGTAAAAAGGCAGTAAAAAAAAAAAAAAATGAGGTTTTTTAACTAACATGCCTATTTTCTTCAGAACTTTCTCTGTCTTTTAATTTTGATTGTTTTGTTGTTGCGAGTGCAACTGTGTCGAATGAATGTTTTAGTTTTCTAAACTATTTCTTGTTGAATGTTGATGAACACAGTTTTAATTATTTCGTTGCATTTTCACAGCCGGATAGAAAGTTCAGTAACCTAAAAAGATTTTTTATTTTGTTTAATTATTTAACAGTTCTTTCAATATAATTCTACAATGACTTTAAAACTAAAAAATGTCCACTTTTTATTTATTTATTTTTTGGATAATTTTTTTTCTTCTTTTTAAATTTAATGAAATTGTAAATTTTATTTTTAAAGCACTGGATAGGACAAAGTACAAAATAAATAAATAAATAAAAAAAAATAATAAAAAAAAAAAAACTCACACAAACCCGTTTTGTCTTTTTCTTTTTTTTTTTTTTTTAAATGACCTTAAAGGACACATTTAAATCTTAAAAAAATATTTCGTGTTCTTGTGATTAATAAAAACAAAAATTGCTTTTTGCTTTATATCCAAAAAAACTGTAAAACGCCATTAAAAAATAAACTTCTGATAACCTTTTTTTTTTCTTTCCATGCTTTATTTATTAAATAAGATAAAAATTTTAATAAAGAAGGGAGGGAAATAAATACCTTTTGATTTGAATCTCGCCCGATGGTGTTCAAGGGACTACTTTATATATCGTAAACAATAACACTTAAAATTTTAAAAAAGAGAAACAATCTACGTGATCTACCTTTTCACTATGATTTGACTTGATGCCTTTTTTCTTTTCTTAAACTTTGACATAAAAAATCTCCCTCCGCAAATAAAAGATCATTGCAGTACATTTTTTTTTTTTATTCTTCTGATTTTAAAATTGACTTTATTTCCTGTAACTTTGGGAGAAGTCCTTTTAAAAGGCTTAAGTTTTTATTTAAGGCTTCCGCTTTGCTTTGATGATATGAACTTATAAAGAAACAAAAACAAAACAAAAATGATTTATGCTGAACGAATTGTTTTACTTTTAGCAGCTACTTAATTAGAAAATAATGACCTTATTTGCAATATATATATTTTTATTTTTTTTAAATTTTTTTTTTTTTTATATAATGAAAAAGAACCTTCTATTCTGCTCTGAGAATGGCAAGTTGATGTTATTTGTGTACAGGTCCAGAGGAGTAGCACACGAGTCTGCAACTTCAAACATCAACGAACTACAAACAACACGGACGGGAATTCTTTGTAAAGACGGGAAAGGAATTAATGGAACATCATGGACCCTATCTTTGGTGAAACTATGAACAACGTACTACAATCTTTTTTTCTTTATTATTTATAATTCAGGAACTTCATCTTCCTACCTTTTTGCTTTTACTTTTCCTTACTTCTTTCATTACTGCCATTACTATGAGACGTCCTTCTTCGCCTCATGTCACAAAAACATTTTTTTTTATTTTAATTATCTATTATTTTTTTTTGTCTATTCTTGTTTTATCTTTCACTCTCCTCTCCTCTTCTCATAGGTTATCCGGTATTTATTTTTATCTACTTCGAGAAACTTGACTCGGAGCTGCTTTTTATTTTTTATTTTTTTATTAATTACACTAACATTTACCCTGCACCCTGAATGCCCAGTAACCAGTCTTAAAGAAACCAAGGTACCAAGGTGACGTTCACAGAAGGAAATTTGTCTTGTAGTAGAATTAGATATTTTGTCAAAATTTGGCTTTTGTTGTCGTAGTAGCAATAAAATGCTCTTTTTTATTGGAGCAGGCATAATATTGATTTTACAATTGTTGCTAACAATGTACTCTTAAATGGTAGTTTAAGTTTAATATTTTTGTTTGTAGGGAATATTTTCAGTAAAAAATTTGTTCTCTCAAAGTGCATTTTAATAATTATCTAATAAAAGCATCTACTTTAACAGGTTTATAATGAAATTTTTAATGTAATATCTTGTAATACTAAACAAAACTTATTGAGTATTTTCAAAGAAGATTGAAGACCATTTCAATCAATTCACCATAATCACCAGCAAAGATTAGAACATTACTGTCTCTAGTAATAATTCTTAACAAGTACCATCTTAAAAATACAAAGTATAATTGCTAAATGGCTTCAAAAATTGATCCCTCACTTTCATATTAAATTATATTTTTTTTAATTTTTTTCTTTAATCATTATCACCCCATGTAAAGCCACTAAAACACAAGGGGGTTACATGGTGTGGAAGAATCAGGAACAGAATCATTAATAATGAGGGAAAAGAGTAATCAGAACGGTAGCTAGCGATTGACATTGCATTTAAATTTTTGAAGATTAAAGTGTTCTGGAAAGCATGGAGCCAGAAGTGAGTTCTACAAATGAGAAGTATGAGAAAATAAACTGTTAGCATAGAGCTTACAGTTACATCTAGCCAGCTCAATTGTAAATTGATGAGATCACTACACCAGTCTAATGCTGCACTTTTAATTAAAACAAAAATCTAAGGTACCATAGTGAAGAGTTCATCCGTACAATTTATAGAAAAGACACAGGCAACCTTACGGCAGTGGGAAAGTGACTGAAGGCAGGTCTCACTAGATTGTGACTAATAATATTGCTGATTCTTTAGATTTTATCAAGCTCGAAGGTAAATAGCAGGGGCACTGGACCATATGTGGCAGCAATATTCTAAGCATAGATGAATGGTAGACATAGATATGTAAGGTAGATACTGGAGAGAAAAATTGTCTTGTATGACACACTGAACTGACTTTCTTAGCAGCTGACTTAGCAATGGATTCAATTTATGTTAGCTGAGAACATTAGCCTGTTGCAGTGTTAAAGTGAGCAATGACTTAGTGACATTACCTATTTTATGTATTGAAAATATATAAAAAAAAAAAATTTCATTAGTAAATTCTTCAAAAGCCAATGTGGCACCCCACAACAAATACTGAAAGCCTATTTTCTTTATAATCAATATAGTATGTCACTAATAAAAAAAAAAAAAAAAAAAATTCTCCCTCGCTTTAAAGACACACAAGAAAACCTTTACATAAGAGCTTTATTTCACAAGTAGTAAATGTCATTTTAGTAAAACATAATTTTTAGTTTAAAATGAGGGACCAACTTATAAACTTGACCTCAGTATATAGGGATTTATTAAGTATACCTATGACATAAGATGCAAATACAGAGCACCCAGTGCGGATTGATCTCGCTGCTCAGTTGTAACAGATCTCACATGACAAGCTTGCTAACCATTACACCATGTCAATATGCCCATTGACCTCTACATAAACAAATTATATTTCTCAATATATTTACTAATACAAATTAAACCATAACTAATTCCAAGTAGATGTAATTACCAGAAGGATATCACTTTTTTTTTTATTTAAAAAAAAAAATAATGCCTAGTACTCGTGCATAACAAAACCGCTCCTCCCTATTTAATATACAGTAAATGTTATTTATAGATTTTTTTTTCCCCTAGTAATATTAAGAGCCTTAAAAAAAAGAAAAGAAGTCAAATTTAGTCACAATTGTTACCATAGGTCGCCTTATATATTAGATAGTTCTAATAGAGCATTAAATGAGGCGGTCATTTTAGTGATTGAATATTAACAACATATTGCTTTATTTTATTGACATGTCTTAATTTAATGCAATCGATTATTTAAAAAATCTCAAAACTTGGATTCTATCTTATTAATTTCCTCTCTAAGCCTGCTATAATTGAGCCCAAAGTGCCTCAACTATACATGGGAATGGGTCTTTGTTGTATTTGTGCCGGTAACCATTATGTGAATTGGGCAGAGATTGTGCAAGATGAATTTTAAATCATTTTTATTTTTTTATGGCTCAGTAATTTCTTCTGATCAAAATATTCATCTTTTTAGATATTATGTAGTTATTTGATCAAAAGTTGTCCCAAAAATAATTTTATATAAAACAAAAGCATATATTTGTTTATTGGACATCAAACATTGGAAAAGCTTCTAGAGATTTAGTCACAAACTTTTAATATAAGTTGCTGAATCGGAACAATTTATGCAGAAAAGGAAATTTATGCTAAGGATTTGCATAAAGGGATGTGTTTTTTCTTTATACTTTTTGCATACTTACATACATAGATATACATTAAATGTGCAAAAAATCCTAGTGTTTTTTCTTTTAGTGGGTACTCATGTTTTAGTTGACATTCCATTTTATTTTAAACAGGGAAAATATTATTAACTGATCTGGAGATTGAGAAGTCCTTACAAAAGAAAAATGTGCCTCCCAACAGGAATTGAATCTGTATTCCTTTTTACACCAGGGAAGCCACATTAGTCAGTGTGCTCTACCTATTAAATGTCTGTAAAGATTCTCAATGCTCTTATTTTTGAAAACTTAGAACTGGATACACAGTTGAAAGTCACTTTTTCACAGGAAACTTTTGCACACACCTAATATGTCAATGAGGTGGAGGAGAGATGCAATTTTATTAGTACAAAATTTGTAATTTTGTGCTTGTCCTCTTGAGAGACCTCTAACTGAAAGCTTTTGAATAACTCTACACGAGTCTAGGCAAAACCTGATAGAATGTTTTTCTCTTATCTAAAATGGTGTAAATCGGAAGCATTAATTAATAGGAAAAAAAAAGTTAACCTTCTGTGACTCCTGTCTCAATGTTGAAAGTCAAGGTTCATTGGCTAATGTGGAAGGCTTGAAATGGCAATTATATATTTTTCTGCCATACAGCTCTTTGCAGGCAGAAATAGGATAGTCAAGTTCGAATACCAGTTGTGTTTGTTACTTTCGCTTATGCACAAATACCCTTTGGAAAGGTGTGAATCCATCTCCTCCTTCTCCCAGCTGTGGGTTGAATAATAGAAATTTATATCTGGAAAAAATCAATGTTGTTCACAAAAAAAACTAATGCAATATTTACTTTCAAAAATAATTCAAAAGGACTGATAAGCCATAAAAAAATAATCAATTCTTGCAGGCAATCAAAATATCCTAAATTGCTATTTTCAAAATTAAATTCATATTATTCTTCTCTCTTTTTTTCTTCTTTTTTTTTGTCTCTGAAAAAAGCAATTGTCAGATGCTAGCTCAGTGAATCTTACTTACATAGGTAAGATTCTGCATCATAACTAAATTACATAGGTAATGGGAATTTTTTTTTTTTACGGACACAGTTTAAAGATTGCCAACAAATCATATTATTAACAATAAAGATGAAGATTTTGTTTTGAATAGATTACTGAGTTGGGGTGAAATTTATTTTCCTACATAGAGAAACTTGTTTAGTAACTTCTTCCTTCTTTTGCTACTCCAGCCTTTTGAAAAGTTGCCAAACTGTTTTATTATTTTTCACAAATGCACTATTCTGAAGCATTTCTTTGTGCACTGCACTGCACTTCACAATCACCTTGGTTGCTTTCTTGTCTTCTGCTTGTTGTTTTTTTTTTTTTTTTTAAATATATTTTTGACACTCTACTATACCACTGTGGCCACATTTGTTCTTGTACAATTGTCTACTTTCATTTTAAATATTATTTACAAACCTATTATTATGGTCATTTCCTTACTCTTTTAATGATAGAATACCATTTGTGTCATTATTATTCTCCTTCATTAAACCATTTTGCTCTTTGGTCACTTTCCCTACTTTGCATCTCATCACATCCTACCTTATGTATCAATGTTTAGAGACTAGCCTGAAGTCTAATCAATATTCTTCACCATCATACTATGTCATAGATTGTAGCAATTCCTCAGCAGTTATCTAACACTTTGTAGCCATCATTATTGCAGTATGTGTACATTTAAACCAGCTACACTTTTTCAATCACCATTATGAATACTTTCTCCTCTTTTTGCAGTATTCTATGCCAATCTGTTATACCACAGTGCCCACAAAACTTAATTTTTTCAGGATTTTCTCTGTAACATATTCTATACCATTTTCATTTGCTTTTTCAGCATTTTCTTACACAAAATCTTGTAAAATGTACCTTCATTGTTTATAATATTCATTATCACTGTAGTTGCTTCAACTTTTTTGGTATAAAAAATTGTGGAAAACAGCTGCTTCAAAGGTAGGACAAAAATATCACAGCTTATTTTGATTAACCACGTTAGAACAATTTACTTGAAATCTTATAAAAATGGGTTGAAACATTAAATCAAATGTCTGTTTCTCTTATAGCATTATGATTTCAGGCATAAATATTTGACTGTTTCATAAGACAACACCTTACATACGATAAGGTATATTTGAAACAAAGAAAAGAATGTTGAACTGCTATGTAATATCAATCCTATATG